GCAGGAATGGAGCCGGTAAAGGTGAGTGTAGGTAGGGAGTTGGGATGGGGGCTGGTCAGTTGAGGGAAGATGGACAGGTCAAGGAGGCAGGGAGGAGGCTGGTCGGTAGGACGTGGGGATGGGGATTGAGGTGGGAGGAGTGGATAGGTGGGACAGCACCTCCCAGTCGCAAACCACTTCAACTCCCCCTCCCACTCCTTGGACGACATGTCTGTCCTGCGCCTCCTGCAGTGCCACAACGATGCCACCCGAAGGTTGCAGGAACAGCACCTCATATTCCGCTTGGGAACCCTGCAGCCCAATGGTCTCAATGCGGACTCTGCGACCTTCAAAATCTCACCACCCCCTACCGCATCCCAAAACCAGCCCATCTCGTCCCCACCTCCTTGACCTGTCTGTCTTCCCTCAACTGGCCAGCCCCCATCCCAACTACCCACCTACACTCACCTTTACCGGCTCCATCCCAGCTTCCTCGACCTGTCCATCTCCTCTCCCACCTATCTGCTCCTCTATCCACCTTCCATCATCGCCTCCCCTCCACTCTCTGTTTATGTCAGAGCCCGCTTCCCCCTCCCCCGTTTCTGAAGAAGGGTCCCGACCCGAAACTTCAGCTTTCCTGCCCTTCTGATGCTGCCTGGCCTGCTGTGTTCATCCAGCTCCGCACCGTGTTATCTAAATCCTGCTTTGACTTCGCTCCCTCCTCGTAGACGTCCCCTTGTCTGTGGGGTACATGCAAACTCTGCAGAGACACGTCACCCGAGGGTGGAACCAAACCTGGAGCTGGGAAGCTGCAGTTCTCAGCACTGAGCCAGCCCTGAATAAACACGAGAGAGAGAGAGAGAGAGAGAGCAGAGATGATTTCATGTGCAGGACATTTTATTCAGACAGCAGGGAATTCCAACGGCATTATCCGCTCCGAGGGCGACGGGGACCGTACCCTGCAGTGGCTCAGGGGGATCTCCGCCGCCACCTCCCCCCCAAAGCCCCGTTCTCCGGTCCTGAGGCCGAGTCAGCCCACAAAGGTGGCGGGGGTGGAGCGGTTCAGAGGACAGGAGCAGCTCGTTGGGTCATGAGCAGGTTGAAGCGGCGTTTGATGGTGACACGGTGGCGGGAGTAGCGATCGTCTGGGGAGAAGCGGGCTGGGTGAGCACTGGAGGTCGCTTTCCCGTCCGGGTCAACCTTCTGCATGAGGGGGGCGGGGGGAGAGACAGGGTTGGTGGGGGGGAGAAAGGAAGAGAGAGAGACAGAGAGTGTTACTCAGGGAGGCCAATTTGTCAACACCTACCCACGCCAATCCCTCCTCCAGCCTGTTACACAGGAGTAGGAGGCCATACAGCAGCGCCCACCCACCCCCACCACTCACCCCGTTACGGACCTGCACCCCCGCCCGCCACTCTCCCCCATTACGGACCCGCACACCGCCCCCCGACCCGCCACTCTCCGCATTACAGACCCCCGTCCCCC